TGGGTGCAAGGGGAGCTTGTTAAGCCTGTGTGTGACCTTCAGGCCTCGTCGGGGCCTTGCCTCTGGGGAGGGAAAGTATGCAGGACCGTGCTGTGATGGCGTGACGCGGCCCGGGCTGTGCGTGGGGAGGAGGGCGCGCGCGGGACGAGGGGGAGGACACGGGAAGAACCTGCGGTGACAGCAGACGGACGTCAAGCAAGGAGACTCCGCGCTTCAGGAGGACGCTTGGACTCGTCATGTAGACGCAGGCCCGAGCGGGCTTCTGAGGACCCGGAGCCGGGGCCGCAGGTGACCCCATGGTTGAAGGGAGTCATACTACCTGTCCTGTTGGCCGCGGATCCAGCAGCAACACCCCAAACAGATCGTCGGGACTCCTACCCGAGAAGGGCCCTCTCACGGCCTCTTGTCACCTGAGAGTCCCAGAGCCATTCTCCGTGCTTACTCACTGTAGAGCTTGCTTCCAGCGACCGTGCGAGGTAACACTCGCCGTCTTCCCATCTCTAGGTGTTGCCTCCTCCGTCCAGACCCAGGGGAGCGCCGTGAGGGCTATAGTGCACGTGGGGGCTGTGACACTGGGGGGAGCGAGACCACCTGGACTGCAAGGGACTTGAGAAAGGTATTTTCTTGTCTCACTGCCTCCTTTCTTCCTTCTCTTCTTCTAGTGGCCTGGAGGTGCATGCTCTGAAATTCTGGCTTCCCTTCCTCACGTATCGACGGGTGGAAATCTTGATTTCCTCCTGGCTTTCCTTTTGGTATCTTTGCATTAAAAAAATGTAGTAAGTAACACATAACGTGAGAGCCATTCTCTCTCTCTCTCTCTCTCTTTTTTTTTTTTTTGTTTGACAGAGATCACAAATAGGCAGAGAGGCAGGCAGAGAGAGAGGAAGGGAAGCAGGCTCCCCGCAGAGCAGAGAGCCCAATGTGGGGCTCCATCCCAGGACCCTGAGACCATGACCTGAGCTGAAGGCAGAGGCTTAACCCACTGAGCTACCCAGGCACCCCGAGAGCCACTCTCTTAACAAAATTTTCAGAGTGGCGTCCACGTTGGCTCTGGGCACAGTGCGCGACAGCAGGCATCCGCTGTGTCTTCTTGTCCTGCCTGGTGAGGCCGGCAGCCAGGGCAGCCCCCCCGTGTCTTCTCCTCCCCGGCTCCCGCGACCCCACAGCATGTCTGAGTTCGGCTGCTCCAGGCGCTGCCTGCGTGGGACTCGTGTGGTACTTGTCCTTCTGCACCTGGTTTACTTCGTTAACCTGGTGTCTTCCGCGTCCATAGCAGGTCCGGGCTCCTTCCTTCCACAGCTGGGTAGCACCCCGTGCGCGAGCCTCCCTGTGCTTGTCCACGCAGCTGTCAGCGGACGTTTGGGCGTTTCTGCCTCTGGACTGTTGTGAGGGAGGCTGCTCTGAACAGGGGTGCCCAAAGCCCTCTTTAAGACCCGCGTTCCAGGGGCGCTCTGTGGCTAGTATGCCTAGTTCCACTTCTAGTTTTGTAAGGAAGGTTTGCACTGTTGGCCGTAGGAGCTGCACCTTCTTGTGCTCCTGGCAATGATGCACAGAGTTCCGGTCTCCCCAGGGCCTCAGCAACGTTCATTATATGCGGCGTTTTAAATGGCCATCCCAGCAGGCACAAGGTGACGTGTCACTGGGGTATTGATGTGCTTTTCCCCGGTGACGAGTGACGTTGAACGTCTCCTTCTGTGCCTCTTAGCTCCAAAACTGAATCAGGGAGACACAGGAAGTCTCAACAGCGCAGTTACTAGTAACGAAATTGAGTTGGTAAACAAGAAGCTGCCCCGGGGCCCCTGGGTGGCCCCGTCGGTTGAGCGTCCGACTCATGATCTCAGCTCAGGTCATGTTCAGGTCGTGAGTTCAGGCCCGGTGTTGGGCTCCACTCTAGGCATGGAACCTACTTCAGAAACAAAAACAAAAAGAAAAAACAAAAATCTCCCAATAAACAAGAGTCCAGGGACAGATGAGTTACAAGAAAATCTACCAAACATTTAAGGACGAGTTACTACTTACTTTCCTCGAATATTCCAAAAAAAGAGGAAGAAATGCTTCCAGATTCGTTCTGTGAGGCCAGCATTACCCTCCCACCAAACCCAGATGAAGACACTATAGACACAGAAGATATCCCTGATGAACACAGGAACCAAAGTCCTCAACAAAACACTGGCAAACCACATTCAGCGACACAGTAACAGCATCACTCCCGGTGATCAAGTGGGATTTATCCCGGGGCGTATCGAGGACGGCTCCGTACTCACCGGTCAGCCCACACGGTCCTCACGTGAGCAAAATGAAGAATACAAATCGTGGTCACCCTGACAACTGCAGAAAAAGCCTCTGACAAAATTCAGCACCTATTCCTGATGACGGCTCTAAACAAAGTGGATCTGCGGGCACAAACCTCCACACAGTGAAGGCCATGGAGGAGAAACCCGCGGCCAGCGTCAGTCCGTGGGGAGGAACGGAGAACTTGTCCCCCAAGATCAGGGACAAGATGAGGATGTCCCTTCTTACCAGCGTTATTCAACGTAGTACCGAGTGTTTTAACCACAGCAGTTCGACAAGAAAAAGAAAGAAAAGGCATCCAGATGGGTGTGGAAGAAGTAAAGCCTCCACTATCTGCAGACGATGTGGTACCACATATAAAAATCCGAGAGACTCCAGCCGAAAACTGCTAGGGTTGATAAAAGGTTACAGTAAGGTCCCAGATACAAAATTAATGTACGGAAATCACGTGTCTGTTGGCCCTTTCTGGTCTTCTCTAGAGAACCGTCTGCTCAGGTCCTCTGTCCGTGGGGGGTTCGGGTTGTTTGTTTTCTGCCGACCTGAGGGGGGCACTTTGCCTCTCCCTCCTGAACCTTCGTACCCCAACCTGGCAACCTCCTCTCTCATGCCCCCTCCTCTTCAGTGGGGTCCTTCTCCCCTGTGCCCCCCCGCCCCCGTCTCTCTGCTCCTGCGACCTTCCCTTACTTTCTGAAACGTACCAGAACCCAGTTCTGCCACATCCTTAAAAACCCAGGTCCCGCCAAGGTTCCCATGTGTCCTTCCCCGAACAGCCGGCAGACGGCCTTTCCCTCTGGCGAGGCCTTGGGGGCGCCCTGTCCCTGTCCCTGTTGCTTTCAGGCGGTCGGCAGAGCTTCCGCGGAGATGGGGGTCACACACTCGCTCGTTTTATTCTGGCTGAGCTCCATCTCCAGCAGGAGCCTGGGAAACGATGTGCGTGCATGTGTGCGCGCGTGTGTGTGTGCGTGTGTAGATGACAGAGCCGAGCTTTCAGCCCCAGTGTGCTCTGGCGACGGGAGGACCCAGAGCGAGCCCGGTCTCTGTGCACGTACCCCCGTTCATCCCACTGGAGGAGGAGGAGCAGGCCAGGGTCAGGGAGGAAAGGGAAAGTCGGGGACCAGGACCGCGAGCAGGTTTGGCCAGAAAAGACAAGCCGGTTTACACGGAAGTTCACGACAGCGGTCGGAGGCGGACTCTGCGGGCTTCTGGCAGGCGCGGCTTGGCAGGTGTGCGCTGGGCTCACGCCGCATGTCTGCGCGTAGTCAGAGCAGCTGCGGCCCGCGGGGGGCCAGCCTGGCCGGCAGTCTGAGCACCTCTCCCCGAACACCCTGTTCCCGAGGAGTCACAGCTTCCAAGATGGGACGTTCTTGGCGGCGGGCTGCGTGGGGAGTGTGTCCGTGCCAAGCTCGAGTTCGCCAGAGGCCCCCACACGGCCTTCAGGCAGCCAGCAGGGGAGGCCGCTGGGCCCAGCCCTGAGTTGGGCATGTGCGGTGGCTCTTGATTTGTGCTGGTCCCACATACGTGCTGCCGGATGTTAGCAGGGCCCTCCAGCGGGACTGACCACATCCACGCGGCTCTCCACGCCGTCTGCCCTGCCTCCTTCACGGACCTCCCCACGCCCCTCGCAGTCGCCGCGTCTCAGTCTGTCCTGCCTCCTTCACGGACCTCCCCACGCCCCTCACAGTCGCCAGCGTTTTGCTGCCTCCTAGACCCTGCCTTGCACCGTGAGCCCCGGCAACCTGTTCTGTTTCGATAATGTGTGTCCACTCCTGGTCCCCGTGTTCCCTGGCAGGGTTCCAGCCAGAGGACCGTTGGGGCCCCCTTTTGTACCTTTAAAATGTCCCTGTCTGGGCTGAAGCCTGCTCTCCCATGAGTCCAGGGAAGCTGACAGCCGCGCAGGCCTTGGCGCCCCCCACAGCTGACCTCATCTGCCTGATCGCTGACTTGGAGGACAGCTCCGTCCGTTCCAGCTTCTCTCTGACCCTCTCTTGCCCCTCCAGTTGTCACGGTGCTGGGACACTGGCTCCCCATCCTGGTCGGTGTGTGGGATCGCAGAGATGCTTAAAAAAAGAAAGAAAAAATGTTCTTAGTCGCTATCCAAGGAAATTCTCTGTAGGTGTGGATGGGGTCTGGGAATCTGACGTTTTTAAACATATGGTTGACCTTTGAACTACTCGGGGGTTGGGGGTGCCAACCCCCCATGTGGCCACAAATCCACGTGTGACTCTCTTCTCCTCCAGAGCATACCTGCTAGTAGTGGCCTGTTGGCCGGAAGACTTGCCGTTGACACACACAGTTGGCGATCATGTCTTTTGCGCGCTCTCTGTGTGCTGTGCTGTATCTCGCAAGGCACTAAGCCAGAGGAAGGCAAACATTGTCAAGAAAATTGTAAGGACGAGGAAGTGCATTTACAGCACTATCCCCTATTGTAAAACAAATCCACGTCACCATGGGCTTCCATGGTGCAAACCCACGTCATCCGAGCTGTACACAGGAGAATGCCTGGAGAGATGGGGATGGGCTCCCAGAGCCGCTGAGTGTCCGTCCCGGATTCTCTGACCTGTGCTCACTGGATTTTCTAGAGCGGTCGTGTGTTTCTTCATCAGTTGAGGAGAGGATAGATGTCATTCCACAGTGGAACACAGACTCCTGAGGGGTCCGTCTCTTCCAGAAACTGTTCACCCTCTCACCTGTGCTCCTCTCTCCCGCAGGGGGCCTCGATCTCATCTTCGTGCCAGGTCTCGGCTTCGACGAGCATGGGAACCGCCTGGGGAGAGGCAGGGGCTACTATGACGCGTACCTGAAGCGCTGTCTGCGGGAGCAGGACGTGGGGCCCTACACCATGGCCTTGGCCTTCCGAGAGCAGATCTGCCTGCAGGTCCCCGTGGACGAGAACGACGTGAAGGTGGACGAAGTCCTGTACGAGAGCCGTCCCCCTAAACCCTGACGCCCGTGGCCATGGGCCGTGTCCCAGGGGAAAGCGGAGCCTGTCCGCTGCCTCGTCAGGATATCCTCGTGCATGCAGGCCACCTGCCTTCCAGTGTAATTGCACAACAGCTGATGCTAAACCACCTTCCCAAACCGGCCAGGACGTGAATAAAAACGCAGGCGATGACGGTGTGATCTGCAGCCTGTCTTGTTGGTTGGCGACGTGTCAGGAAGTCTCTGCAGCTTTTGGGGAGGTGCTGTGGTCCCAACCGAGGGTGAGGGCCGGGGATCTCGCCCCGTGGGGACACGGTCTCAGCGCGTCCTGTCCTGGGCCTGCCCAGTCTTGGGCAGGCTGGGCAGGCTCAGCAACTGTTCACCGATCTGTCCGTGTGTGCGCAGTTTCCCCGGAATGTTCTAGCACTTCGTCGTGACTTCATTTGCTCCCCCTGCGATTCCATGTCTGATACTTTGTAGCTCTTGACAGTCTAGACCGAGACCTTTTAGGATTTAAATGCTTTAGTGCCATCTCCATGTCTCTGTGTGTTGGTCACTTAGGATTTAAGGTCTAATGTCCTGTGGGTTAGAAATACCTTGTTTGCTTGTGGTGTCTGCTTTGGAAATGAAACGCGCCGTGGGCTGTGGGCTGGCAGATGGCCTCCCAGCGTGGGAGCCGGGATTCTGCTCAGGAGGTTTGCTTGTGACCGGAAACCGGGCATCTTCCTAGATGCTGCTCTCACCCCCGCGCCCTGCCTGTGCCGGGGCCCGTGGCGTTCACCTCTGGAGTGCCGCTGTCACCTGTCCCCTCCCCTCTCCCGTCCCCAACCCCTCACTCCTGGGGTCCAGGCTCACAGCATTTGCAGGAGACCCCCCTTCTGGCCTCTTTTGCCCATAGTCTGGCGCTGTCCTCTGTTTCCCAAACTCCAGTCCAAGTGACCTTACAAAGCGTGAGTCTGGGAGTCTGGCCATTCAGGGCCTACAGGTAACAGGGAGCGGCCGGCTGCCTTCTCCTGCAGGAGGCCCCCTCTGCGGACGCACACGTCTGTGCCCCTCCCCGAGTGGCATGGGTATCGCTTGCCTTTCGCACCAGGTCGCATGCTTGCCCTGTGGGCCGCGATGCCCTCTCTCCTTTTGCTCACCTGGACGCTCCCATCTACCCTTCACGACTCAGCTCGGGCATCTCATCTTGTGTGGCATCTTCCTCCGTGGCCCCAGGCAGAGTTAGTGTCCCTCCACCCGTGTAAACAGCCCCGGTCGTGTCCTCCTTGTCGCACTGTCCTGCGCATTGACTGTTGGCTGTCACATCTGCCTCTTCCCCAGACCGTGAGCTCCGAAGAGAAGGGACAGTGCTGGCCGTTTCCCGTACGTGGTGGATGCCTGCGTGCGCAGTTGGTGTTGGAGAGCGTGGGAATGAGGGAATGTGTTTATACCACGGATCCGTGTTCTTTGGATAATAGCATTTGATTTGGTGATTTATGCATGGAAGTAAAAAATGTTTTAAAATTGTGAGATTCATGAGATTCTGGAAGGCTGGGGGGCTGCGGGTCTCCTGCCCAGAAGCGGTGACCCTGGTGGCCAGGACTGGGTGGTAGTCCTCATGCAGAGCGTATCGGGAAGGGGAAAACCCCCACAGTACAGGTAGTGCCCATCAGGGCATAAGCAGAGGCTGAGCACAAGAACTTGAGCCCAGGGAGTGAGCCGGCGTGATCCGGCCATGGGTGAGGGGATGGGCCAGGCGGAGACGAATGGCCATGGGGGCTGTAGCAGAGCTCCAGCGTCTGTCCTCAATGCTGCCCTGCGTAGACCTGGGTGTGACTTACCGAGAAGGTAAACTGGAGAGGGGAGCCGCCGGCGCACGTGACTAGGAATGTCCAGTCACCCGGTCCCACTAACCCAGGAGCCATGCGTGCGTCTAGGTGTGGACAGCTCCCTGCAGAAGCCCGGGTCCTGGGCCCCATTCTCCTTTTCTCTCATTCAGAGATCATTGAAATCCAGCTGGTCACACAGTATTTTCATCATGTGTTTGCGCACTTACCTCCTGCATGAGCCCTTGAGCTCCTCACGGGCAAGGTCATGGGGGTCTGGGACTCACCCCAGTCCCCGGCACAAAATAATAATGGGTAGATTCTCGAGGAAGGAGGGGACAGCATGCGGCGGCCTGGTCTGGGTTGTGCGCTGGCTGCTTTGCGCGTTGGCCTCCACCTGCTGCCAGATTCCGTCCTTCAGCCTCGTCTCCCAGTTGGATTCTTCTAGAACAGTTTCTGTTACGCCGGCTGTGTGGCCCTTCTGGACCGGTCCGTGCGTGTCCCGTGGTCTGTGCTGCTCGGCCCCATTCACCTCTCATGGTCATCGTCCCTCGCGACCTCCTGCTCTCCCTTGTAGGGCTGCTCTCTCCTGCCTGGGCGCCCCCTCCCCAAATGCAGGTTTTATATGTTTAAAAATGAACAATAGGTTTCTTTCCAGATAACACCAGGCACAACAGGAAACAAGCACAAATAAAACAGACGAGACCCTAGAAGCCGTCGGTTATCTGTAATCTGTGATGCACTGAATTTCCAAAAGGGAAAGCCGTGATGGAAAATTTTTTGAAATTTACTGTTTTTGAAAACCTTATTTTAATCTCCCTGGAATGACTGAAATGCCTGGTTCTAATTTCATTTCTCTCAGTGTTGGGTTTGAAGGGCTTTATAGCTGAAAACAAAACCTTCCAGAGATGCACGGACCCGTACACAAGCCCTGCGACACTTGCTGAAACTGGCCCTGCTGTCTACCAAGTTTGCGGAGGTCTTTTTTTCTTTTCTTTTTTTTTTTTTTTTTAATTTATTTATGTGACAGACAGAGATCACAAGTAGGCAGAGGGGCAGACGGTGGGGTGGGGGGAAGCAGGCTCCCCACTGAGCAGAGAGCCCGATGCGGGGCTCGATCCCAGGACCCTGAGATCATGACCTGAGCCGAAGGCAGAGGTTTTAACCCACTGAGCCACCCAGGCGCCCCTCTTTTTTTCTTTTTTTCTTTTTTTAAGGATTTTATTTATTTATCTGTCAGAGAGAGAGAGGGAGAGCGAGCACAGGCAGACAGAATGGCAGGCAGAGGCAGAGGGAGAAGCAGGCTCCCTGACGAGCACGGAGCCCGATGTGGGACTCGATCCCAGCACGCTGGGATCATGACCTGAGCCGAAGGCAGCTGCCCAACCAACTGAGCCACCCAGGCGTCCCTCTTTTTTTCTTTTTAAATTGAGATTGGGCTCGTGAACACCCATGGTCCTGACGCGCTCGTTGCTGTGTGTTACTCAGAAGACGCAGCACCTTCCCTCGGTCAGCACGCGGCTTTGAAACTTAATGAAACTTGAAAGACTCTGAATCGAGTCAGAGCAGCCTTGCTCCCTGGTGCTTTGGTTGTGCAGACGTGGACGTGTTTACAGGTGCCACACGTGGTCTGTGGCAGCACGATCATGGAATGGTGAGAATTTTCCAAATCACCATTTCCAGCACATGCTGTGTGTCACAGACCTTCCCTTCTGTCTCTTCAGTGGAATGTGACTTCTCCCCACAAGATCAGCTATATGTTCTGTGGCACTGTATGCTTAGGGAATGGGCCACTGGTGGCCATTTGTACCATAGAAAAGTCAGAAAATGTGGAGCACTCACCTCTGTTTAAAGTCCACACAGGGGTGCCTGGGGGGCTAAGTCAGCTAAGAGTCTGCCTTCGGCTCACATCATGATCCTGGGGTCCTGGGATCAAGCCCCACACCAGGCTTCCTGCTCAGCGGGGAGCTGTTTCTCCTTCTGTCTTTGCCGCTGCCTCTACTTTTGCTCTCTGGCTCTTTCTCTCTGCCAAACAAATAAATAAAATTTTTAAAAAAGGTACATGTAAATTTATCTTGAAGCTTCACAGCTCTTTTTAAAAGTATTTTATCCTGGGATGCCTGGGTGGCTCAGTTGGTTAAGCCTCTGCCTTCGGCTCAGGTCATGATCTCAGCGTCCTGGGATTGAGTCCCACATTGGGCTCCCTGCTCAGCGGGGAGCCTGCTTCTCCCTCTGCCTCTACCTGCCACTCTGCCTGCCTGTCCTCTATCTCTCTGACAAATAAATAAATAAAATCTTTAAAAAAAAAAAAAAGTATTTTATCCTGGGATTGTCAGAGAAATGTAGGTGAACCAGAATATTTCTCCTGGGTCTCTCCTAGCCTAAAATATCATCAGTGTTGTCCGCTGTGCGGTAGAGTCCTCCGTGGCACAGAATCATGGTGCCGTCAGTCACGTGGTGCACTTCTTGTCCCTGAATGATGGGCTGATGCTGCGGCTGAGCCTTCATGGGGGTCCACCACGCTCCCCGCACAGGCAGATGCCAGCCAGAGGCGTCCCGTCCCGGCCTCGCTTACGTCGTTTGTCCTAAAACACGGTCTTGGTGAACACGTCAGCTGATTCTGAGGCTCCTGTCCTCCTCATGACTTTGACGTCTTTAACATCTCAGCTTTTCATTCGTTCTTCTCACGATGAGACCATAAGCGGGGACATGCTGGAAGCTTCTGTCCTTTTATCCAGCCTCTCCCACCCTGAAAAATTTATTCCAGAACTTACGTCTTTGGATGGTCCGCTGTGTTTTCCCCTGTCATCTAGTAGAAGATGTTACTTTTCAGGGTTTGTCCCCCTCGACTGTTTCCTGAGTTTCCCCGTAGTTCCGTGGCGGGAGGAACGAGTCTTTCGTGGATGGCGTGCTCCTGTCTGTGCGTTCTTCTCTAAAGGCTTACAAACATTTCTGATTCCTTGCAGTGAACACTGCTGAAGACGGGTTAGAGTTAGTATTTTCTGAGATAGTGGCTCTTACTAAAAGCATCGTGGGTGTCCATCTTCGTCTTCTGGGTCTGTAACCTCTGGCAACCGTGGTCCTATAGGAAGGGGCTCATTGTTAGCTGCGATGAGCACAGATTCCTGCTGGAGGGTCCTGGTGAAAATTTCAGCTTTGGGGGCTCCCTTCTGGGCAGACGTTACCGCTTTTCCTTGTCGTGGGGCTGACGAATAGCTTTCGTCAGGAGCGGAGACACCAGCTGCTGCTGCTCACTCCCGCTGCCTCCGGAGAACTCTCTGGCTGGCTGTTCCTCTGCCAGAGTCTCCTAGAGCCACTCACGCACTTTAAGAGGGTTGGCTCAGTGAGAGCCACATGGGTAGATCCTCGTACCTGGGGCAGCACAGGACGCCC